ACCCTAAACTCCTAAACCCTAGACCCGGAACCCCGAGGCCAAGCCCTTCGCTTTCCGTCGGATCCTCGCTGGTCCCTCCGGGGCCTCTACGAGGATCTCGAGCCTTTCAGAGGCTGCGGTGACTTTGCGGCTGAGGGTTCAGGGTTCAGGGTTCAGGGTTTAGGGTTTAGGGTTTAGGGTTTAGGGTTTAGGGGTTTAGGGTTTAGGGTTCAGGGTTCAGGGTTCAGCGTTTAGGGTTAGGGGTTTGGGTTTAGGGTTGAGGTTTAGGGGTGCGAAAGGGTTTAGGGGGTTAGGGCCCGAATCTCCTTATGCAGGAGTACCCAGCTGTCGCAATACGCCTGGATGCAAGAGGGCTGAAGACCTTAAACCCTTAAACCTGATAAAGCTGAACAAGAGAAGCCAGCAAAAGCAATTGAACCAAAGCTATTCCATGGCCGGCAGAGACATTTGAACAGTTGGTCATGAGTCTTCAACCCCTCCATGTGTCGGTCTCATACTTCTCTCTGCTTGACTGCACATCACACGTCTTGCTAAAGCCTAAAATTTGGATTGACAGATGTCGGCTAGGGCAGATGCTCCTTAGGTCCTTGTGATCCATGGACAGTTTACAGAAGTTTTACGAGTTGCATTCTGGTTCCTCCCCATTATCCTCGTTCACCGGCTGCCATCGCTTCAGCAAAGGGTTTGGTGAGCCTTGTGCGTAGATGAAGATTGCCTCAATCCTACATGATGACTTTTTACCTTCTGTTTCTGGGTCCAGCAGCATGCTAATGGCACAACACTTCATAAGGGTGCAACCACCACGGATTAAAGCGTGCGTGTCTGTGTGTGTGTGTCATGGACTGGCATCACGTAGCAATTGATCTGCTTGGGCACGATCGGGTATGCTACGCGAGCGGTTTCTACCAGCGAGGGCTTTCTGATGCAACTCCACGCAAAAAGTGCCGTCTGTTAAACACGTCGATTTGGCTCCAGGCCAAACGGCGGCAAAATGACAAAGCGTTACCGCTTGAGGCGGCACAGCCTCCCATCGACGCCTGGTTGCAATGCATGTTAGTCCTACTGTTTTCGCGGTGGTGCCGAGTTCTTCTGTCATGGGCCTGAGTCGACGTATCACCAGAGCTACTTCTGACTTGCCGTCTTTTGGCCGTGCTAACGTTCCTTACGCTGGCAGGTCCTACTGAGCGTCTCCTTGCATTGACTGCCCGCAAGACAGCCTCAAGGACTTGAGCCGAAGCCCACGTCGCTCCGATCCTGCGGCGCCTTCTCCGTCACACTCCCCGCCACGGCAGGGGCCTCGAAGCTTTGGAACCACGTTTCCTGCCATCACAACTTCTTGGAGGGGGAAGGGCTTTGAGGAAGTTGTTATACTGACTTTACCATATACCGTACTATACTGTACTATACTATACTATACTATACGGTATTATTCTTATACTGACGGAGACGATGCAATTTTGCAATGCTTGAATGCTCAAATGACTCGCAGGCTCGGTGCCCCAGGCAAGTTAAACGAGTGTGACGTAGGCACATTAAAGGCCTTGGGAAGTTTTGGTTTAGGGTTTAGGGTTTAGGGTTTAGGGTAGGACGGCTCATGGTATTATCATACTGGAATTGCTGTACTACAATATCTGCAGTACTCTGTACCATAAACCCTAAACCCATAGTCATAGGCGGACCAGAAGGGGATTTTCTACACATGTGATCCTCGCACAGGAAGCTGACAAGGAGATTCTGGAAGGCTGAGGTCCTCAACCAGGCAGCTTCTGCGGTGCCGGGTTCAGGGACGTTACTCTAAAGCCTGCAAGGTTAGCAAGACTATTCCTTAGGCTTCCGGATTATAGCTATACTAGAGTATGCCCCGAAACCCCAGTAGAAATAATTTGGGCCCCTGAGTTTGGGTTGAGGGCTCCTTGTGATGTGGGTGTCTTCAGGGCGTCAACTATAGCTTGTCCTTTGCGGCTTCTACCCAGGCCACGGTTTCCGAGAAGTTGGAGGTCTTTGACATCCCGGGATGGCCCATGGAGGAGGCAGCTGGATTGTCAGATTTTGGAGGAGTCCTTCCGGACTGCTTGTGCCTAGTGTCCGAGTTTTCCAGACTGCCCGCAACAATGCCAGCAGAAGCTCGCAGAAACTCAACACAAGTACTCGTAAGTAACACGGTGTTCGGCGTGGGGACTGCCCGAGCTGGGGATTGAAACAGAGAGCTGCTCGTAGCCAGGTCCGAGACTCAGAAGCATGCAAGGATAATAGATTGACACTTGCTTGGGCAAGCAGCTTTTTGGTCCCTGGCTGATAGTCAGTAGGAGATCATGTCATTCTTGTTCGCATTCAGCAGATTTGAAGGATTTTGAAGGTCTCCTTAAGCTGAGGCAAAACCGCCTGCGATACAGCCAGTCCTCATGTGTCGCGGTGCCAGCTTAAACCATGCTGCGGTCGCAAAGCTACGATTTTTGGGCAGCTGCTCGCATCCACGGAACTTGGAGGCAGCTCGTCCAGATGCGGCCCCCTGGTGGCGGAGCATCCGCGGAAAAGGTTTCTGCGTTTCGCAATCATTTGCACAGAACGCTCGAGAAAGGTGAGAGGGTGGAGCTATCAGCCTGGGGTGCTCCAGCATCCCAAAACACGATACAAGCCTTCGCCACATGCTCGAAAGCTGTTCAGTTCCAGGTCAGGTGGCAGCAGAAGGAGTCGGAGAAGGAACGCTGTTTGCGTTTCATTGCCAAGTGCTTCTTGCCGTGGGAGGAGTACCTTCAAAACCGGATCATGAACACAAAGAGCATCCCCGTGCAGGCAGAGACGCGGCCGTTGGACTTGGCCCGATCGATTGCGAGCGTTTTGCAGAGAAACACCTCCTCAGAATCACGTGCAGTGCGGGTGTACGCCCCTCTGTCCGACGAAGCGGCAGTGCATGTTCTTGCCAAGGGCTTGGCATCTGTACCTAGCTTACATCCCTTCAGAAGCTTGCAAACGGTGTGCAACATTGTTACGCCGATGGACGATCCCACGAGTCGTTTGTTTGCATACTTGACCTTCGCTGAGCAAGAAGACGCGCCTGATGTCGGCGCAGTCTTCCATGCGTATCCGCCTGCTACTGCCGATCAGGATACTGCACGCCGTTTCATCGCCGCTGTGCAGGATAGGCTGCAGATGGGCAATGAAGTGAAGATGAACTGTCGCGGACCTGATGCTGTCATGCATGCCATCCAGTCATTCTGTCTGCTGAAGGGACACGTGGCAGAGTTCCGCGTAGCCTGGGCTTCGGCAGACACACCTGGTGAAACCTCCAAGTCCTCTGCCGCGCGAGCTTTACAAGTTGAAGCGGTTCGCGGTCCGAGCTGGCAGGAGTTTAACTCCATAGATTTTAGCCAAACCCACCTGCTGAAAGTCAGTGGAGAAACACCGGTAGGGAAGTTGGCCTATGCTGTCATTGCAGAAGTCCGGGCAAAGGGCGCAGTGTCAGTCCATTGCTATTCAGACAACAAGTATTCCGTTGGGGTGCTCATGAAAGCACTCGCGACCGTCCGGAGCATCAGCGGGAAGCAGGTCCGCTCCATTCCAAGCTATGGCCGCGCAAGGCACAAGGGAAGTCCAGTTCTTCGGGTCTACGTACAGCGCTGCCAGCACAGTTTGCCCGAATCTGCGGACGAGGAGACCGAAAAAGCAGGGTGCATGCAGGCATGTTGCACTCTGCCGGACCACACCCCTGGCAAAAGCTCATTTGCAGATCACCCCCTTGAACAGTCTACACAGTGCCGACACTTGCAGGCAGGGCATGCAAGGAGTTTTGCGAAGATGTAAGTTCATCTTGATCTGGGTATGAAATCTACTCTTAAGTATCATAACTGAGGCATTCTTGTTCGTCCTAGCCAGGCGGGAGGCAAAAATGGCAGCAGCTTGCCTTAATTTAGATCTCGTATTAGTGGCTCTTATGACAAAATTCTCGATGTTCAGTACTTGGTACAGCCGTTCTCGTTTTATTCTATTCTTAATATGAGATGTCTTCTTCTGTTCTTCTCATTATCATTGCTGGCATGTTTTATTCTTGTTTCTGATCATTATTATGATGTCCTCTTAACCTTTTAATTATTACCGTTATTATTCTTACTCTTGTTCTTGTTGATGTTGCAGTTGTTGTTGTCGCCGTTGTTGTTGCTGATGCTGCTGCCGCCTAGTGCTATCAAGAGTAGTATTGAGGGCAGTATCATTCCCAGTTGCATCGACATCATCATCTCTGCTTTTTTGGGTGTACTGTTCCGAGCCCCATGTGGAAAAAGAGAGACGAAAACCAAGGCCCCGATGGGTTTTGGGGCTTCAGGGTTAGAATGACGAAATTTGTGGGCCAAAGTATGAAAGCTAAAGCAATGTGCCCTGCGTGCATTTGTGAGTTATCAGTGAAGCATCGTCACAAATTTTGCGGAACTTCGGTGGGTGCAAGCCTTGGTCTCGTGCTGGACCGTGCTCCAGAACAGGCTCGACCGTGCGAGTTTGAGAGCCGGCTCCTGGTTTGGGTATATGGCGCGGTACGCGTTGCCCGAGCCTGCCAATGCGATCAACTTCGAAACTTCGAGACATAGCCGCCTTCTCATTGTGAGGCACCTGCAACAGCTGCCAACGGCATCGCACTCGGGCAGGCGGATTCTCGGTTGGGACCCCATAATGCATCCTTGCACCGCTCCCAAAAACCTACAGAGCGAGTGGCATGAAGCCTTCCTCTGCGCCCCGTGCATACTCCTAGGAAATGCCAGGGGACAACGCGACGCATCAAAGTTCCAGTCCCTGCAACTTCGTCATGGGCCGCCCAGTCTGCTTCCGTGCTCTCATCTGGCAGGCCTCCTCTTCATCACCGGCATGGCAGCCTCTGACTTGGGTCGCAGCACGAACTTTCAGTGAAATCCTGCCAATTGTTGCAGGACTGCCTCACAACTTATTCAGCTTCGGGTTGCCCACATATGCCGTGATGTTTTGGTACTGCCAACTTTGCGCATGAGGTGTGCCACAAGCGCAGCAGCTGCTACCGAGGCTCGCATGGTCGCTCTACATCCTTAGTCCTCGTTTGCAGGGCCGAAGCTGGCTTGCTTGCCAAAACGTTTGGGTTCAGATCCGCTGGCGAAAGAGAGAGGCTCAACAGTGGCACCATCAACGTCAGAATGCTTGGAACCCTCCCAAGCTAGCGTCCCCGACCTTTGGCAAGTCTCACACAAGGCTGATGATCCCCAAACAAGGAGGGTTGTCATTTCCACCTCTTGCAGCATTTACTCCACATGCGCCGAAGGTGGCGGACCATGACGTGCCAGAAGGCCCATCGGCTGACACAGTCGCCAGCAGGGTCTCCAAAGCATACATCCCGAGAGCAAATTTGCACCCATGTTTATTCTGAGAAACCTTGCTTTATTTCCTTAGTAAGAGGAATGCTAATCATTATGGCCATCAGCAATTTCAGGATCTTCAAGGCAGTACTTCAGGTTGCAGTTCCTGGGGATGGTGGCTGTTCCGATGCGAAATGGGTGTTTTCGACCTTTGCATTTCAACAGGCCCAGTTTCTGCTTTCGAAAGGCAGCGATATCGATGAGGACGATCAAGTCGTGGAAGACGGCGAGGACAGTTTAGGGGGTCTGATACCTACACACACACACACATATACACATATAGAAGGATCATTAGGGAGTATATTGCATTCTCATGTGTTTATACCTGTGAGAAGGATGTCGTTCGCCGAACTCACCTGTTGCAGCCCCGCACAGCGAAACTTCTGAAGGCGGCAAAACCCTAAACCCTATTTATACTACAAGCCCTATAAGCCCTGTAAAACCCCAAACCCGCAAACCCCTAAACCCTATAAACCCTATGAGCCCTGTAAAACCCCAAACCCACTAACCCCAAAACCCTATAAACCCTAAACCCTATAAACCCTATAAACCCTATAAACCCTATGAGCCCTAAACCCTATAAACCCTATGAGCCCTAAACCAAAAGTTGCCAGGAGCTGAGCCTCGAGGGGCTGGTCACGATGCTGCTGAAGGCTTCTTCTGAGGAAGCTTGCAAAGCAATAGTATTAGGGTTTAGGGTTTAGGGTTTACCCGATAGTAACCCCTTATAGGAACCCTTTAAAGGAGCCATATTCTAATTATTAAGGTGTGTTTCAAACTTGGCAGTTTAAAATGCTGGGCTCTAGAAGGAAAAATCAGAAAGACATAGCAAGCCCGACGCAAGGGACGCCGGGACGCTGGCGTTTGGGAGGAGGCCCTGAGCTCGTTCCTTGGCTGAACTTTGCGCTTTCAGGTCTATGGCCAATTTAGGGGGGTTCAACTGTCCATGTGAAGGTAAGCACCTTCCGCACTCATTCCCGACATGTTCCGCTAAAACGCGAAGCTCGGAGTGCCTCCACATTCGGGGTTGGAAGTTAGAAGCCAGGTTCTTTGCGTGTCCACTCCCGGCCCTTCTGGATGCAGAGTTTGCAGAGGCCGCACCAGCCCGAAGACTTCTTGAAGGATCGTGCAGTGTAGTAAGCAGGCCATGAGCAAGCCTATAGCTAGCTAAGTTTTGTGATCAACTTGACAAGGCTTTAAAGGTTGCTTCTTTCAAAGACTCGCGGTAGAAGGTTGCATTGCTTTGCAATGTGTTTGTGCCTTATAAGGGTTCAGACTTCTGGTCCAGGGTTCCAGGAGTCATGATTCAGATGTCAGCACAAGAGCCGAGGAAGCTCGGCCTTCTGCTAGCATAGCTCAATCTGAGCGTCGGAGGAGAGTTTGGCATCGGCAGGTAGACTGTCCAGGGGTGTCCGTTAGGGAGAATGCCGGTTAGTTCGACATCTCGGTTTTCGAGCGTATTCGATCGCGTGAGCACACCGTCGCGAGGCGGCACGTCTCAGAACGCACGGTCACGCCAGGAAGTTTTCTGGCCAGGATCGCATCGCCTCCCTTTGGCGTGGTTTCGTCGGGAAAGGATGCAAACTCGACGCGGAATCCGCTTGACCGCAAGATCCAGGCGCAGCCCTGCGGACATCGACCAGCTTCGCTGCACTAAACCTCCGAACCTCTAAAGCCCAAGCCCTAAAGCAGCCTAAAGCCTTAATCATCGCTGCGGCCACATCTGGGGCTGGCTTCCTGGAAAATCTGTACACGGGTGGCTGGCTGCCCTTCTGGCTGATGGGTATAGGTTTGGTTGTGCACGAGCTCCGAGGACATTTGCTCACCAGCATTGCTGGTCGAGCATTCTGCGACACTTGGCATGCCCAACCCACCAGTGAAGAATGCTTTAACGACTGAATCAGCTGAGCTGATAGTCATAGTCAGGTGGATGCCCCTGCAGAAGAGTCTGATTCGACCTGTCGTGTGAGTGAACAAACTGACAAGTGAGATGAGCCGATAGTAGTTTTAGGAATAGACGGCTAGGCACCCTCTTGTGACCATGCTGCCGAATGGTGCCGCCGCCTGCATGACGGTGCAGCATGACGCACCCCCTAATCCTAGGCCTCAAGTGTGGGATACGGATTGTTGTCTTATTGTCGCATGCTCTTGTGCTGTCATGTCGCTGCTTTCTCCTCAGCAACTGCCCGCACACAGCGGGGGACTAATCAGTAAGTAGGTGGCTGCCAACTGATTATTCGCTGTTTTCTAGGCGCTTTATGCTCTCCTGCTTATTGTGCGCAGATCGTTTACTTGCAGATATAGTTCCTGCTGCAGATGATTGAAAGCAGACTGCTTTGGCCGATGTTCTTGAGTCTTTTCATGCAGTATTTATTCGCAGTCTACTTACTACATGTCCCTGTAGCGATGTCACACTGGAAATGCCACCGTCCCATGAACCCGTGCCTGCTTTGCGCGACTCCGTTCATTACTCTCTCAGCAAACAGTATATAGAATCCTTTTTAAACCCTTCGCAGAGTAGGAGGCAAAAAACCAGTATTCTGCACCACAAGTCTCGTATGGAACAGTATACAAAGCCCAATGTTGTACTCCTTATATTAACCCTAAGCCCTAAACCTCTGCACGACAGGTAAACAAACACATCGTCAAGAAGGCAGGTGCTTTGAAGCTCACGGAGCCCCTTCCCAAGGCCTCGCACGGTGCTTCTGGGCACAGGGTTTGCATAAGGCAGGGCTAGTGTCTGTTAGGGTTTAGGCTTGAGTGCAAGGGGGCGTGAGGGTGAGGGTTTCGACGTAGGGCCTAGGGATGAGAAGAAGACGCTCGTCAAAGCAGCGCATGGCACGGCTGAGATGAGTGTGGGCATGAATCATGATTCCATTCCTCGTCCTGTGCAGGTGTCATGGAAAGGTATATCCTTCAGCTGAAAAAGGATCGAATGTTTCGTAGAACGAGAATCGAATATTGATTGATACACAGGATTCCATGGCCTGAGATTCTACGATATCCTAACTCCACATGTAATATTTCGGATACAGTTGCATAAAATTCCTCTATGCTGGATTGATAAGCTTTCCAATGTAGCAAAGACAATGGAGATAAAGGAGGGGTATTCAGCATTGATCAAAGCTTTCAATTATTTTATAGAAATATATGTATTGTATTATCAAGGAGCATAAGAAGGAATATCTAGGATAGTTTTTATTCATAATATATTCAGAAATATTTGGCAAAATTATTTAGAAATTATATATTGATATCTTTATATTATGGATATATGAAGCAAGAAAGAATTTATGATTATGATTATATCGCACCAATATGAAATATATTTTATATTATCAAAAAAGGAATTTCAAAATAGAATAAAGTTTTTAAGAAAATAATAAAATATACATTTAATTCTATATTTTATCGATTTTTCTTTATAATTTTAATATATATATAGTTTTTTTTGATTTATATATAATATTTGTTGATTAATATAAATAATTATATAAATTTTATTTTATTTATGTAA